ATATATATATATATATATATATTAAGTACTATAACTTTGAAATATATATATATATATATATATGTGTGAGAGCATAAATGTTATAAAATACAACATTAGAGATTTCTGGCGTTTTCTGTCATTGTAATGAGTGAGAAAGTTACAAAGTTACAAATGATTTTATCATTTAACTGATTAAATTCCAAGTGAAAATGCAATATAGGCATCAGAATATGCACAAATTGACCTGTAAAACTCTCTTGGTAAGGCCAGTTCTCTGTGCTAACTGTTTCAGGTCCTTCGCATCTGGATTATGATTCAAGTTGAAGTAACTCTTCATGGTCCTTAACTGATGATGCTTGAAACTTGTTCGCATTCGTTTTGATTTATTTGTTGTATTTAATGCTTCTTCTTCACCATAATCTATAAACTCTCACACTAATTATTATTTGCAAGTATAATAAGACTTTTGTATTCATCAGTTGTGCTTCTTTGAAAACTGTTATGTTTATTTCTAATTGATCTTTATTAATATATTTATAATACACGAGATTTTTGGTAAATATTAGGCTATTAATTACTCGCTTTAAATTATGCTCAAACTAATAATTTTGTTTTCAAAACTTACACAAAACTACTACATTGAAGATGTAGAAGAAAATAATAACCTACTTGAGAAATTGCTAGTTTGAGTATGATCATCAAAGATATCAGTGTATTTTGAGTAATCCGATAAATCAGTAATGATAAATGTAATTTCTATTCTTCAGAAATAAAGATTAAGTAAAAAATGCAAGTATTAAATTATTTATTACATAGAGTTAAATTTTTCAGATTCTTTATATAGTTCTTACGTTGTGATCTGCTACGTTATGAATACGAAAATACCAAAATGACTTAAATTTCATAATTGACGCACAATTAAGTCATTTTATATCAATTAATGGATAATAGCGATATTGAAAATCTAAATTTCCAACTGTTTCCGTAATATAAAGTGTGCTTTTAATATCGAATGTCAAAAGAGGCGATTTTTGACAAATATTGTCGAGAAATATTGAAAATATTTCTTAGATCACAGTTTGTTTAGTATTTATTTCGTTATTCACCATATAATTTAATAAGCAATGCATGAATCAATTTGAATCATGGCTATTATATTACTGGTTTGTACGCGTACACTTTGCTTCATCGCACGCTTACAGAAGAGTCATCAAAGATGAATGACGTAAAATTAGAGGTTTCAGATGAATTCATATAATAAAACATAAGGGAGTGATAGTGAATTAATTTAATATAATATTATGTCGGCTATAAAGTTCGGTCAAATTAGAAATCCTTGTATAAAAGTCTAGGTCTAGAGCGATGAATAGCTTTGTTAGAAGTGTTGTTCTTCCTTACTTGTGCTTTACTAGCAGCTAAATCATTAATGTTTGCAAAGTGTCAACAATTTTTGCATTGAAGCGGCATATCTTTGCTTGGCTCATTGGTCATTGACTGCTAGTCCAAGCTTCATTTCTCTCCAATTAGTGCTGGATTACGGTAGCTTAACTTAACAAACTCCCTATTGAAATCTTAGAAGATAACTCATCAAATTTCCATTTTTATGGTTGAGATAAATTTCAATCCAAATAATTATTACCTTGCAAAATTCTTGTACTTTTGTTTTTTTTCTTGTTGGATAAATAAGTACTTTTGACTTTAACGAAAAAGGCTCTGAAATTCAATGTATAAGCTTTTATTAATAAAATGTTGGCCTTCATTTCGGCCAACATTTTACTGGATGTTTGACGTGACGTATAGAATAGTGAGAAGAATATATTCAATAAATTGTTCTTTGTAAGGAGTTGCTAAATACATTCCATAATGGGTAGTGAATGGAAATCAGTAACTGATATGTGGTAAAGTGCTGTAAGCAAGAAATAATGAAGCTGTACAATAGCAGAGTATGGATATTATTGAATAGCAAATAATAAATTGTGTTACACTGCCAAGAAAGCAGTCGGAAACTACGATAGTAATTCAAATGAAGTCAATGCAGCAAATGATCTAGTAGAATGGATAGAGTAGATATCAGTGGTGATAAATGAGGAGCACTGTACTTCATCTATGCATTCGAATGACAAGAAATCATTTCAAATGAATTTCTTTAAATATGTAAATATGTTGCTAAAATATATGAAAATGTGCTCTGAAAACGACAAAATAATGAAAAATTACAATACATGGAAAAAATCTGGTAAAGGAGCAGTAATATGACAAGTGCTGATGGAGATTTGTTTAATAAAGTATAATTACAAAGCAAATAATGTATTGCATAATAAGTAGTACAATAAGCGTGCAAAAATAATGAGTGAGAAAAATAAATAGTCATTTTAAGAGTTAAAGATAAATTAAAAAGTTTCGGATCACTGAGAACAGATATTCTGGCATTCAAAAATTACTACGAAGTAACTTTTAAGATGGCATATGGGTATATCCGACAATAACGTATGGTAACTTTTAAAAAAAGACAAATCAAAAATTGCTTGCTATCAGTTATGAGTTGTTAACGAGTAAATTATCACTGACTATCAGAATCATTTTTTATTAATTTTTACTTCTGCCGCTAAACAACTAAAAAAACTAAGAAATAACTAAAATAGTAACTTTCCATTGCATACAGCAATTTTTACAGCATGCATTTTTTATCAACTTTCGATATTTACGCCTTAATTTTTATAAATATTTATGACTATTTCACGTTCAATATTACGCATTAATTTCATCGATTACTGTTTGTTTTCAATTCAATTCCTATTAATATTTGAGATAACTGACGAATGCAAATACTATGATTTAGCTTTATTTCTTGTTTATTTTTATTTTATTTGAAATAATATTAATTAGGTTGTGGACAAACTTTTGAATTTATTACAAAAGGCACAATTGCTAAACTAACCAATGCTATCAGTAGCAGTTTCAATGTCATCCTTTGCTTGCGACCACTTGCGATATCCGTCTTTCATGACAATTACTGGAAATTCTGTGGAATCTACACGTGACGAACCATTGTCCATGTGGTTTACAACGCCATAATGCACTAAAACCTGAACTTCAATTGCTTATTGTTTAACAGAAGTTATCATAATTTTTACCAATAACAAATCATTCTTTTGGTGGAATGATCTAAAAGAGGTTAAAGTTGAACAAATTTTGCAGGTCAAATTAAATATTGAACACCACTTGTTATTTTATTAGGATAGTTGCCAATAAGAGTGGATATGCATCAAAAAAGTTGGAAGAATTCATTGCGTATAAAAAATTCCATTATTCTTGATTTTTATTCAAATCTGTTGCTTATTTTAAAATATGATGACATGACCTTTTTACTTCTCAACAAAAACGGACTTAAAAATTCAGGGATCACAGAAAATTAAATCAACAGAAATGGCAAAAAATATCTTTGAAAAGCATTTTCCAAGTTCATTTATTTTTTGACCTAAAATCGCAATCAAAAAATTAGAGCATAGTTTCAGTGATTTGTTCAGCTCTGATTAATTTCATATTTTAAATTTAACGTAAGAGGATATTATATTTAAGATGCAAAATTCTTATATGCAAAAATTTGCAAATTGTTATATATTATACAATTTGCAGCAAATAGTAAAAAGTAAAGTAATGTGCACCGCGACAGTACAATGTTCCATTACAGCCCATCATGAATAATTCACCCGGTCGAAGTGGTACTGCACAAATGCAACACGTAAAGCAGCTCACGTGAAAAATGGCATCATTTGCTTTCATTACCATATCTTCGCGGCATAAAACAGAGGTGCAACGTTCACAACGTTTACCATACCTACTATAACTTACTTTTTATATTTAAATTTTAAGGTACATTGATTATCTCTACTGAACCTACTTGAAATATGTATGACTTATTTTAGAAATACCGAATTTATGAATTTTTTCTTTCAATAAAATAACTGAATAAAATTTATTCACCTTATTTTACTTCTTTTTTTTTTTGAAATAGACAAGTAGTCTTTTACAAATTTTTATCGTACAACTCATCATTTAATAATCTATTATTCCTTCAAGAACCTTAAAAATAATTCTTATTTTTTGTTTTGACCTTATCAAAAGTGAAATTTTCAGAGTGCAGTTTTCACTTCAAAGTAATTTGTAATATAGTACAGTAACCTAAAAAAGTAAATATTGAAAAGCCTGAAAAGATACAAAATCAATGTCAATTATTAACCTAAAATAATCGTTTCGACAAAATATCATTCCATTTTTAAAGTAACATGTTGAAGTAGCATTCAGTAAGCAATGGCACACACAGCAACGGAGGCAATCATAATGCCAGCTTTGTTCATTCATTAGTAGAAAGTGTTGATCAGTGATTGGGATCAGACATGACGTACAACAACCTATCAATACTTATCATTCAGTCAAACAGTAATTTAAATAGTAAAATAAGATTAAGAATTACTCATAATAACATTAATTTTTTTTCAAAATGTTTTTAATTAAGTGGCAAAGTTAACTAACAACTGTTACTTGGGACAATACTGTAAATCAATCACAGTAATAAGGCGCACTTTTAAATTTGAATAATCTCTCATTAGAGTATAAGCTATTTCTTGGCAAAGTTTGGTATGAAATCAAAGATAAGTACGGCGATCTTACTTAAAATACTTGCAAAAATTTATGGATTAATAAAGACAGAAGGGAATAATTATAAAGAAAAATTTAAATAACGTAAAGATCGTTGATAACAAGTATTAGTGTGATAATAATTAGAGAAATACTATGATTCTGAGAAAGGTAGCAAAATAATTATTGATATGATTGATGTGAAGAATTACAAAGAATCATCAAGCAGAAGCTTGATCTGCAAGAGTACCTGCTTCGGCAGTTTGGCTCGAAGTCGAGGGAACATTTGGAATTGATGGTGATAACGCGGTGGCAACATTCTCGTTCAGTGTTGATGAGTATATCATTTGGAAGATTAGCGCTAATGAAATAAAACGTAATATGAAACAAAAAGTAAGACGATAAAAGAATAAAAAGAAAACTGACAAATTCTGCATTTAGATGTAAAAATTTCGTACTTTAAGTAGTGAATATAAATTGTGTTTCGGTTTATTTCTAATGAATCTTTGATTGAATGTGCAAGCAGAATCGTAACAGAATACAGTACATAGTACTGTGAATAGTAGACAAAACTATAAGCAAAATGGCATAAGAGTATTGTACTCAGTTTGTATTGTAAGTATGAGAATATTTTAGCGAAAAATTTGCAATTGCTAACTTTTGAAATAGACTTTCAAAAAACGAGTAAGTATGGATTGAATTACTGCAAAGGATAGATGTGTATGTACAGGTAAAGTAACAGGCGGCTTTGAAAGGATAAAGACGGATTATGAAGGAAATCGCGGGATTTTGTGGCACGTAACTGAAAAGCTCTCTCATGCAATTATTTATCATCAATTGTGTCTCACATCTGAGTAAAAATCTTTTTGGTTGTTCGGAAACTTTTTTGAATAAATAATAATAGCAAACAAATTTTATGTCGGAGCAAAATGCAAAAATGTAATTCATATTGGAAGGTCATATTGGTGGCTTTGGAAACTGTCTAGAAAAGCACTTGAAGAGGCTGAGAGATGCATGCATTATGCTTGATTCTGTATTTTAATGACGATAATGACACCAAGTGGATTACTACAATTTGACACCAAGTTAGCAGGTGAAGACTAGCTAGAACTAAAGCCGATTTTATCGAAAGTGTTTTTGGTAGCTGTGAAAGTGATTGGATTTTAGACAGAAAGGAGCAATTTGCGCATTTAAATCAAACTGCATCAACAATGGTCAAAAGTGGCCGGTCTTTGTGATAAAATAGATAAATATTTAATCAAAACTATAAAGTTCTAAATTTAATTCAGGAAATTGCTTTTGGAAAAATGAACTGAAATTCAATTAAAAGTTGTAAAATAATCATTTTTTAAGATATCAGTTAGTTTTTTAATTCAAAATTTTAAAATAAATAGCATAAGCAATATTTGCTAAAAATGCAAGTTGTCATGGTCAGTAGCCTATATTTTCATACTTGATTTGCACATCCACAAGAATGATTATCAATTTGAAACAAAAGCTATGAGTTAGTTTTCGCACTATTTAAACTGCAAAAATATCTGCTGTCATTCTAATATTTAATGACCCCTGACCTTTCTTTTACTAAAGAATTCAAGAAACTAAATAGCAAGTTTATTACAGCTGAGCTAGTTTGCTCATTTTCGTGATACAAGGGAAATCTAAACAATACATCTGGTGCAAAGGCATAAAATGACACTTATTTCTTGCAGATTACCACCTTTCTACTTTATTGCTGACTTTGAAATTACACCATAAAAATTTCATTTACGTTCTTTGCTTAGCTAATAAAATAGCACGCGTCTATGGTGCTTTGTGAGGTTGGAGTCTGTTTCGAACTTTCCGCGTAGATAAACAGTACGATGTCATGGTACAAGATTTTGGGTGAAAGATGAACAAAAGATGGTAACTTTATTGTCTTGAGAGCTCTAAAGACTACAATTAGTTTAGTTTACTTATACAGTTAGAGATCGTCTGAACTCTCGCGAGTAAACGATATCCGATCAAGTTTTTTCGGAAGTTAGTCTGAAGGTAAGTAAAAAGTCTGCGGCGAAAATGATTCTATGCTTTCGCCTTTACTTCTTCTCTCACTATGATTGATATGTTTTCAAATGTTAAAGCACAATTTCATTTACGTTCTTTGCTTAGCTAATGACATAAAAAAGTATATCTTTGCACAAAAATTAGTAATGCCACTTGGCCACGTCAGAAGCACAGATTATACTTTATAATTAGATATGTATACATTGTCATTATCGAAAGTGAACAAAATTAAATCTTTGAGAGTGCTTAAATACGTGTAGAAGATATGAAATCAAATAATTTTGTTATAAAACAAAAATGAAACTCATTTATTTAAAGTTGACAGTCAAATCAAACTTAAAAATATCAGTCAAAGCGAAGTTTCGTCAGATTGTTAGGTAAGTTGAAGATATTACTAAAATTACTCATAGGAAAATCATAACTGCAAATAAAATAACAAATACAGTAATTACTGGCGGTTACAGGAAAATAAAAGGAAAATGAGGATAAGATCACAAATCCTTCTTGCAATTATGTTCCACAATAGACCACAAATCAACTCTTGCATCATTATTTAAGAACAAGGCACAAAGGTCAAAAGAGGTGAGAGGTCATCAAAGGATGGAAAATAAATTTCTTCTTTGTCAAGTACTTGTCATGCTGATTTTTCAAGTAATAATCAGTTAAAATGAACTCTTTAGGACGTAAACTTTTTTTATGCTTGCGCGAATAAAATATAGAGTGATTACTAATTTAACTGTCAACAAGCATTCTGAGTTGACTGTAAATTGAGAAAAATTGTAAAGACTAAGTGGAAAACTTACGCTGTTACCAAATTATTTATCTACAATCTAAGTTTTGAAATCTGTTTCTCAGAAGTCTAGCCAAAGGCTATGTAGCATTACTAAATATTGAAAAGCCTGAAAAGACAAAAAATTAATGTCAATTAATTAATCGAAGACAATAAATTATCATTTGTCATAAGCAGTTTTTGGATTAAAAATACCATTAAAGTGGTATACGTAGAACAAAATAAATTTAAAATTACTTTGTTGAGAAATGGACTATGAATATATTATACATTTATATCACGAAGTGTAGTCAGTACCGTATACTGAAGCTCGGCTTAAATGATCGTCATGGTATGTGCCACCTAAAGGATATAATTGGGAAGGGTACGAAGTAGGCCAAAGGTTGCCTAGGAGTGAGCTTACTTTAGCTTGAAATTGGATAGGCTGGGTAGAAAAGCTAGGCTGAAAAATAGATGGTTGGGCTTGAAGACTGCAAATGCGCCTTGTTATTAGCCAAGATTCTGCATAAATTTTGTTGTATCAACAGTGAGCTCTAGTTGCAAATGTATTCATTCGTTTATAAAGTACATTTTATTGATTTTTTTGAAATTTTATGAAATGTATATATTTTTTACACTTCAAAAATTTTATACATTCGAAATTGGGTTAAGTTGCAAAATATTTTTTCCCTTGTTTTACTTTTCTAAATGAGTTATAAAAGGGTATATAGTGATGCACCTGTCTGACTGTTTACTTATTAATTAGACGGAAAGTTAAGGAAGGATATAAATGATCGGAAGAACAATTATGCAAACAATATGCTGTTGTGTTTTAGCTTTTGTGATTGTTTGTAATATCATTATTATTGTTATTCACTGCTTTCTGCCATATTATTATTATTATTATTATTATTATCATTCACTTATTATTATTACTATTTACTAATTCAAAAGCTATTAATAAAAATTTAAAAATAGTAGCTCTCAGCCTTATAACATATATCTGAATGGCCAAATTACATATTATAATGTATGCATTTTTTAAGTATTATTTTTAAGCACGTCTTTGAATACTTTGTTTGCTTATCGAGCAATTATATTCTTCTTTTCATAAAGTTTGAAAATTGCAATGTATTATCAATTCAGTTCCATCGTAATCCTATCTTTCAACTTTCATTGCACAGAATGCTTTTCTCAGTAGTTTTGCACCTTTTCGCTAATGTTATTCAAAGTTTATTAATACAATTCCTCAATATTTTCTGGGCATTATGGCAGGTAAATGAAATCAAATTACAATCCTTTTATTCATTGAAAATGTAGAAATTAGAAAAAATGAATGCTTATCAAAAATAAAAATTATTAAATAATTTTAAAAATGCCCAAATATTATGAAGTTGAACTTCAATGTTTCCAATAAAATTTCTGCTAAAACTTAGACACAAACAAATAATATCAGTGATAATAATTTTCGGTTAATAATTCTTGATTTTGATTTTTAACCATTTTTAATGTAAAAAATACTGTGAAAGCTGATTTTGACCAAGAAATTCTAGTATAACGCCATTGATGCAGTTATGAAAATTATTTTACAATTATATCTACCACTGTTTATCTGTTCACTTCTTCTTGTCTTGGCCAAACACATCGTTGCCAACACCAGCAAGAGTCTATAACAACGTGCTTACTATTAGTCTAAGCTTGTATAACTAGTAAAAAAAAGTTTTAGTTCAAATGCATACTTGATAATTTGGGTCATAAATGCCAGCTTTTGCATTTTTGTTTTCTGGTGCTCGAGGTTCTTCAACACGTTCAGCATTTTTCTTTTTATCCTCACCAAATACATCACCGGCTACTCCAGCTAAAGTTTGATAATTAGGATCATATACGCCAGCTTTAGCTTCTTTATTTTCGGGAGCTTTTGGTCTAGCACCATCGTTTCCACCAGTTGCTTTTTTATCAGCGCCGAATACATCACCACCTATACCAGCTAACGTTTGATAGTTTGGATCAAATGTTCCTGAAAAAATTATTGCTTTTTTTGGATGAATAATAATTAAGTTTCATTCTATCTACTGAATGTGAGTTAAGCTGGTCATGACAAAGCTCAAAACAAATCTATTTTTAGAAAATTAAGCGATGTCATTCTAGCCAGCAAACCTTGCAACTTACCAGCCATTCCACCACCAGCAGGTACCTGAGGAGCAGCACCTGCTGCTGGTGCATTTAGTGCTTGAGGAGCAGCACCTGCTCCAGGACCTGCCTTATCAGCACCAAACACTTCGCCACCAATACCAGCCAAAGTTTGGTAGTTTGGATCGTACGTTCCTGAAATTGTTTCAACGATTTTGTAATTATGACTAGTGAACAATATTTGTTTAGCTCATTAAGAAAGTTCTCTGCCAGAATTTACGTCAACAATTATTAGTGCATCTGTTTCTAAAATACATCATTACTTCCAGTTTAATTTAGTCTTGAAACTTAAAAATTTTCACAGTGAAAAATTAATTGTAATAAAAAGACGTAAAAATTTTGTTACCGGCCATGCCCGCCTGTTCAGGTACTCTTGGAGCATTCTAAAATTACTACTGATCAGAAACAGGCTGCTGCTTTGGAAAGTTTGTCATTCAATATCATAAAAAGTAAATAGCCACACAAGAATTAACTCTGTAAGATATTATAACTATTTATGCTTAAAGGTTCAGTAAACACAGTTATTTTGAATAAGTCTCAAGTAGACTTAAAAAGATTAAAGTAACTTACTTGGTTGGGTAATTCACTTGTTACGGCTAAAATTTAAGTTTATTTCACAAGTTTATAGCTTCAAAATAATCAAAGTATGACATAAACTGTGTAAGAATTTGGTAGGATAATAATTATATCATATCTTGATTACTTCGGTGAACTAAAGTTACTAGTAGTTTATTTTCAAAATGGATAGAAGAAATCAGATGCAATTTGTTCAGCTCGCTTAATCTTGCACAGTAATGAGTTTGGCAAGTTTACTCTACAAAACAAGCTTTTAATCTTATAATATTTACCACTTACAATAATTTTGCCAATCACTTTTAGAAGTGCTTTATGAATGTAAAAAAGTTTTCTTTAAGACTAAAACTTTTTTTTTCGATTAAATAAAATTCTCAATAACGTATCTATCCATTTTTGAAGGAATATTTTTTTTAGTACTGTATAATATATCTGAAGTCTTTCAAGCAGAAATATCATTTGTAAAGTTTTGTTTAGCAGTCTAAAATGAATTTTACAAAATATTACTTACCTTCACTCGTTGTACCACTTTTCTGCAAGTTTTTTCCTCAGTGAAGTAAGTGAGCATTTTTAAAGCATTCAATTATTTTTTTAATGTAATAAATAGTGCTTAGAATCCATGGTAGTGTTGTAAGAATCACAGAAAATTATTATTGTTCATAGCATGAACTTTTCTACAGAACTTTTATTTGAATCCCAGATTCAAAATTAATTCAATGGAAATTCAGATGGCTTTCTAGAAATTGAAAAGACTCAAGACTATTTTCAGCATAAAAGTTACCTTCACTGACTTTTTGTTTATAAAAAAAATTAGTTTATCTGATTTTAGACTTTTATTGATATCTCATGACAAGCCTTTTTACAACAACAGCAGTTGACGGATTTGTAGGCGGCCATAAAAACTAATAATACAACTTGTAGAATCAAACATATAGGCAATTCGATTAATCCTATAGTAACCGTCATTGTGGGTACCTTTGAATATATTTTTTCCGCCAGATTCGATACCTGAGATAGATCAAAGCTTTGAATTCATATTTGTCAATGATAGTATAACAATTTTGGTGCTGAACGAGGAAGTCAAAATAGATCTAACGAAATGAGTCAACCAGTAATATCTAAAATAGTAAACTCTGAAGTCTTGTGAGTTTTCATTTATTGAAAAAATTATTACCGTATTAACCAGCCCAAACGAATATAAAAATTATTACTCTAGCAGAAGAAAAATACTGGCTGATGTCTAATTTGCAAGTCGTTTAACTATTAACAATAACAAATGCGCTGCTGACTTTTCATATTATTGTAATTTGAAATTTGCATAGTCATTATTTCATTTTTTGATAATTTTGACGTTGGTAACATTTTATGAGATAACTGCAAAAAGAATAAACTCCCGAAATGCAAGAGAATACTTGCTATCACTTGCAATACAGTTGTTTTATGCTGCAGCAAAAAATGATTTTGAGATGCAATGCACTTCACAAAGTTCTGCTAATATTAATTCGGGCGGGCGTTGAACTAAAAAGAGCCTTTCTGAAGAAGTCATTTTCAAAATTAAGCTATCAAACACACACTTGTTCGTTTACACGGATTCTTGAGAAGTATGTTTAGTATTCAAAATACTGTTCACACAAATTTCAGTAGTTTCTATTGTCTCTTAAATTAATTATAAAACTAGCAAAATCCAGAATTGAAGTCTTAATTAAGGTAATTAATAAGATTCTGCATGAATCAATAAAAGTTATTGCAAAAAGTATGCGATAAAAACACTACTTTTGCACAGGCGTTTCGAGTAAAATAGAGTGGTTTTCTTTTGCGAATAATTGACTGGGGAATATTTTAGCCT